TGGGCCGGAGGATTGCTCCCTCTCTTTCTTTCGCCAGGGCTGTGGTGCAGGGGGAGACCCCCATTGCTCCCTCTCTCTCTCCCTCTCTCTCTCTCTCTCTCTCTCTCTCTGCTTTGCTAGGGGTCAGAGCCAGGGGAGTCACCCCCGACCAGCGCCTAGGCGCATCCCCATCCATCATTTTGACAGAGGGGCTTGGCTGTACTGTTGTTTGGAGGGTCGTGTGCCTCGTGTTGTCTGTGGGCCTCCGTGGGGGCAGTTCTTGTCAGCACCAGGGTAAGTTAGAAAACGGCGAGTGCCTCCCAGGAGTCCCACAGATTTGTACTCACTACACTGTACCCCACCTGACCTGCCTTTGCCCTGCCTTCAACCCGAACTGAGACCTGATCCCCATCACTGCCTGCGACCTTCCACTCAACCCTTAAACCTGGCCAGCTCTGAAGGGGGGGTGCCCCGAAACAAACGCTGCACGTCCTAAGAAACACTGCGCTCACAACACAGCAGTCTCTTGTGCCCCTTCAGAGCTTTGTCTAGGCCACGTTGGCGTGTGCACGTCGCCGTCTGTGGCTTTGCTCGCTGCTGTCACTGCTCGCACTCAGGTCTTCTTCGGCTCGCTGTAGTGCCCCTCTTCTCGTGTGTTTTGGCGCCGCCGAGTGCCACGGGACTGTCTCTGCTTCCGCACTGTCCGCTTCTGGTGCCGTGGCTTCGCACTGGTCGCCGTTCTCCTCGAAGTGGTGCCCAAGCCCAGTAGGTCCCTCGTGGGGGGGTGCAGCGAGTCCTGGTAGTCCAGCAGGTCCCTCGTGCGCCCCCGGTTTTGTGGTCTTCCCGTGTGGTGTCGCTGGAGGTCCGGTGTCCGTCGTCGTCTGTGGCGTCGTCTCCACGACTGTGTGCCCACGAGGTTGTACTGGTGGAGGTTCACGTTGAGGTAGGTCACGGTGAGGTTCTCCTTCGGCTGGTGTTGGGCGGTCGGGTTCTCCTGGTACTGGTAGGTCTCCTGGTCGTGGAAGTCCAGGTTGTGCAAGTAGTTCGGCGTGTAGTGTTCTTTCTCGCTGTGGAGAAAGTTCTGTTCTTGGCTGGTCCTCCGGCGTCTCGTCGTCGACCAACTCCACCACATTTCCCCAGAACTGTGTACTCCACTCCAGCAGGTCTGCCACTGCTTCTGACGCCAGAATGTGTGCCTCCCCGCAGCCTCGTTGTGTGCCCCCCTGCAGGCTGTCTGGTGTAGCTCCGCTGCTTCTTGGGTGAGGTAGAGCAGGCGTTCTATGGCGTCCATTGCAAAGGACGGGTGCCTCTCGTCCCGGCGCAGCTCTGTGAGGAGGTTCTCGCAGGTTTCCACAGCCCGTTCTGCGTACTCTTCGCCTTGGTGAACTGCTCCCCAGTCTCTCTCTCTGTCTCTCTGTCTCTCTCTCTCTCTGTCTCTCTCTCTCTCTCCCTCTCTCCCTCTCTCTCCCTCT